ATATATATATATATATATATATATATATATATATATATATATATATATATATATATATATATATATATATATATATATATATATATATATATATATATATATATATATATATATATATATATATATATATATATATATATATATATATATATATATATATATATATGGGATTGACTCCAGTCAGATGACAACGTATGGTTCATTCTAAATCAACGTACTGCTCATTCCGAAACAACAAGGGGTTCATTCTCACACAATTGTTCATCACAACGTACTATTTATTTCGAAACAACATAATGTTCATTCCAAGTCAGTCAAATGACAATGTAGGGTTCATTTTCAATCAACGTAGTGTGCTTTTTCAAACAACGTAGGGTTCATTTTCACACATTTATTCATTATGAACGTAGTACTCATTCTGAAAGAACATAGTACTCATTCCCAGTCTACTCAGCATTAAGTTCATTCCGAAACAACATAATGCTCATTCTCAAACAAGGTGGTGCTCATTCGGAAGCATGTCATCTTGTCGAAAGTGTTTGAAATGTTTTAAATATTATTGTGATAAATAATATCATGAAAAATATTATTGTGATAAATAAAAGTGTTTGAAATGTTTTAAATTTTACGATAACCAAGTTAATACTTTAGTTCGAAAGGGGCTGCAGACCTGAACGGATTTGGGTGTTACATTTTGGTATCGGAGCAAATGGTTTTAAAACCGATCTTCGGATAAAAAAAATTGAATTAAAAAAAATGTGTCAGTCACATCCACGACTCTTGCATCCCTCTGCTCTAGGAAAGGTATGGAAAATTACTTAGAAAATATTGACTCTATTCGAATTCTCACTAGAAAACAACTGTTAGTACTGAAATTGTATCAAGCGTAACCTCTAGTTGAACTTTCGTACTCGGTGAAGAGACAAAAGAATAAATAAAAAAAAATATAACCCTCTGATATGTTATCAACGTACGCATTGCATCGCGAATGACGAAGCTGATCTATCTCGCAAAGTCGCATAGAAGTGAGACGACTATGAAGAAACGATTAATGTTGAATAACATCTGTGAAGTTGTTGTCAAAGATCCTCATGTGGACTGAAGACGATCGGATCGTTGATTTAAACACGAACATTTAGAATCAATAAACTCTGTTGTCTAAAAGTATCTCATTCTGATTACAATGCAAATATGCGATTATATCATACGAATCGAAATCGTTCGTTCAACTACAATTCCTTGCAAAACTTCATCATATAAGGAAATTGACATAATCTTTATTTCGTATCTATGACTTATTTGATCAGCTTAAAGAATCCATTGTGCTCTCTAAGATTGACTTACGGTCAAGGATACTATCACATCTCTGTTAAGATAGAAAAACTGACGATCAAGAACTGCTACCCTTTACTATGTATTGACAATTTGTTCGGTCAAATTCAAAGGAACCTACTTGCTAGAAGCTATGGATAGCTCAATCTTGTTGAATGAAGTGACACATTGTCATGACATGATTAGTGACTTAAACATCGATATAGTCTGAATAAATATCCGTTGTCAACTCGTCAAGAATCCTAACGAAGGAATTTCTGTTATTGTAGAATGAGTCAAGAAACCGCTCACGATCAAATTAACCAAGTGCTAAGCGATGGGCACGAAAATGTTCATACTGAAGTATCCAGTTTCACACCCTCCTATTCAAAGTGAACAAGTGAACTCACTACATGTTCCCCAAAATGATCAAAATATTGGAGGCCAACCTGACGCTATGCTACCTACCTTAATGGTAAACTTCTTGCAACAAATGACTAATGCCCATGTGTTTCAACCACCTCCACCACCACCTCGTTTAAATTGCTCTTGAATGGATCGAGCAGACTCCTCGTGTACTACAAAATTTGAACATACCTCTTGTTGATCATCCAAAATTTGCATCTCAATTGCTCCGTAAGGAAGCCTATGAATGGTGGAAACGCACTGACGAAAATACAAACACACCCAAACCTTGGACTTGGGAATTCTTCGATTGGGCGTTCAAGAAGGAATATATACCAGTTCGATTCCGTGAAGAGAA